CTCTGGCCTCTGACTACACTCTCACATATATCTCCAATGAAACTTCCCCTCCACCATATCCGGGAGCAGCCATGTTCCTTCCATGTTTCCATTCCTTTTAATTTTTTTTTCATTCATTAGCCTCCTACAGATAATAACTAAAAGTGCTTGTTATAGTGTAAAACACTCTAATTAAAAACAGAATGTAGCTATGGGATGGAAAGAAACTACCAGGGTGAAATCTGGAACAAAGTGGGAACCCAAAGAGCAAGGTTTGCGGGCACTTTTTTCCGTACGGGGCATATTTGCTGGCAGGAACGTATTTGTACTAATTGCAGCAGCCTCGTTCATAGAAACAGAACAGAAATCAAAGTGTGGGACACACGCACAAGACCCTTTCCTGTTATGCCGGGCTGCTAAGAGTTGTGCCCTGAAAATAAGGGCGAACCAGAATAAAGCCACCTTCTAGCCCTTGGAGGACAGCAATGCTGGTGTACGAAGGGCTTGTCAGGGTGCGCAGAACTTTCTGTAAAGGCTGCATCTACAAGGCAGGTCTTAGGTACAAACTCTTAATTCACACCACCTGGGTGGTATTTCAAAACGAGTGAGGTTATGTCCTAATGATTGCGGACCAGGAGTGAAGCCAGGATCAAAAACAAGTCCTTCCTGGGAAAGGGTGCATAGCCTCAAGGTATTCTGGGAAATAGCTTTTAGGGGGCAATAATGACAAATCCCTAGTGAAAAATGAGCAAATACATAAGAATAAAATAAAAAGGGTCAAGTAACAGATCTACTAAAAATGCACATTTTAAGTTGAGGTCCTGATACAGTTTGCAGCTGTGAATTCATTCATTCTACGTGGCTCAGGCACTTCCTGAGGGCCAAACAGTGTTAGGGGCGCTGGGAACACTGCTGTCTCAGCTGTCACATGAGCAAACCACCTGGGCACTAAAGGTCTGCAGACTTGCCATCCTATTGAAGTTTATTTACCTTGGCTTTCTGTGGCCTCTGGAGAGTTCCAAACACAGTCTAATGGGTGCCCTTAGCTCTTAGTGGCAGATTTTGAAATAAACAGAAGTCTCTTAGGGCTGAAGCTGACATCACTGATTCCTCTCTCAGAATCTCATTCCCCAAGGTTCCATGGTTGAGCTAAACCTGATTATACCTGAAGAAAACCATCACAGGAACGTGATAAAAGACAAAGCTAGCTAGCTCAGAGACATAAGCCTTAGGTAAATATCCCTAAGTTTGTGAAGATCCAAGCAGGTGACCTATTATTGGGAATCATAGCATGAAATGAAAAACATTGATTTTGAAGGCACATTTGGAAATAATCAAAGGCAGAGGAAGGGTGGAGGAGAGTTAGACCAATATTTAGTTATACGTGATCCGCTTGTCTTCACCAGTGTGCTAGCAAAAAATATCAGTAGTACAACATTTGGGTTACCGAAGTGTGTTTGTCCACCCAGGTTTTCACAGTGAGTATTCAAACTGTCTGCTCCATACACCTGCATTTATGTTCTCTTGTTAAACATTCTAACAGTTGTCATTTACTCAGCCCCCAGTAACCCGTGCTTTCTTAGTTATGCCAAACCACAGCAGGACAGTATAATAATAATAAAGACAGGAGTCAGCCACGAAGGTGGCACAGGCCTCTAATCCCAGCATTCAGGAAGTGAAGCCGAGAGGATTGTGGGTTTGAGACCAGCCTGCGCTACACAATAAGACTGAGTCTCAAATGGTAAAGATAATCAAGTCTCACTTATCCCATTTCACACACGAGAAGACAATAGTCGCGAAGGTCACTTCCCGAAGAAGGTGCAGAAGAGCCCGAGTGTTAGTATTACTGCTTCAACAGACCTGGAGTTGAACCGTGCTCTGCCCACATTTCTCCTTTCCTGGAGGTGAGGCTCAGTGACTTTCCATAGTGAGGGGTGCTGTGGGGATGAGAGGAAGCCTCGTGCATTGGAGCGCACAGCTCTAGCAAGGGCCGGCTGCTCCCTCTACCCAGAGATGCTTCGTCTACACATTCATGTCTTGACTTAGCCACTGTCTTCAACTGGTTTTTGTTGTTGTTGTTTGTCCTAGAATTGGCTCTTGTAGACCTGCCCCTGCCTCCTGAGTGCTGGGATTAAAGGCATACACACCCACCACCCAGCTCAACTAGTTTTAAAAGTAGCTACTTCATAAAGCACCAACTTTTGAGTAATGAGAATGCACAGCATTACTAGAGCCACCGAGAGCCCTCAGGGTTTAGTTCCCCTTCCATGCATTCCCAACACCTACTTGTTTCACCCTCTAGAGAAGAACGGAATAGCTCAGTCTTAATTTTCACTTGCCTGTCTCCAGAGCATCACAACATAATCTGCTCAAGAAGAGAGACCCTGACTTGGCCTTCCCTTCTTTGCTGGTCTCTCAGACAGCCTGCGTGTCCTTCCCCGGGTATCTGTGTATACACGGGATAGGGCTGGAGATTAGCCAGGGCTAGAGTTAAGTTAAGGCCAGAAGAGATATGAGTGACATCTGTTTCTTTGTTTCCATGGTAAAGATAACTGACACAGAAGGGGTGGCCGTCTTTCCTTTATTAAAAGAGCATTGATTTTTATTTCTAGAGCTTATGAATAATCTTCATGCACTCTTTCATTTAGTCTTTACCATTTACTGGTCCTAGAATGGTATAATGTGGAAGACTATATTCACACAGTAAATAGGCAGAACCTTTGAGGAAAAGAAGTTTGGTTGTTGACAAAGATTTGCTAAAGCACTATTCAGGTCTCTTTGTTACATACATCCTTACTGGTCATCGGCCCACGTCTTCCACTCAGGTTTTCACACTCACCACCATCAGGCACACAGAAGGGGCCCCACAAACATCTGAAGCTATTCAGGTGGCTATTATAGAAATAAACTGTCCTCTACTGACCAGGCAGAAAGCAGCATAAAGGTCTCTTCAAGTCCATGAAGGCAAGCCCTTACCTAAGCTGCCTTCTGAGGGGGCAAGACTTGCTTCCTACGTAACTGATGAGTTCAGAGGTCACATGTGTGGAAAGGTTTGTTTTGTTCTGTAAGGTGTCAAAACCTAGTTGAGTTAACATTGGCAGTTGGAGCGATTTTGATTTCATGTGCACTCACAGCTAGCCCGTGACAGGACTAACAGCAAATCCTGGGCCATTTGGGAATTTGGGATAGTTGTTGGAAAATAATTGTTAGGCCAAGGGAAAGTTGGGAAATTCTACTTCAGTCAGCTCTTAGGGTATTAAATGATCACTGCCTCAAAATGAAGAAAATAGAAGGAGGAGGAAGAGGAAGGAGAAGGAAGGAAGGAAGGAAAGAAGGAAGGAAGGAAGAAAGAAAGGAAGGAAGAAAAGAAGGAAGGAAGGAAGGAAGGAGGAGGAGGAGGAGAAACACAGCAACAAAAAATAAACTAAAAGTTTCAAATTGTGTAAACACAAAAACCAAATGCTGGTTCTCAGAGTCCTCCCTGGTAACTGCAGCCTCCAGGAAAAGGCCCTGCCCTCAGCCCTGTGCTTCACAGACTCTTTCTAACAGGAGGTGTGAAAAAGAGAGTTCACTTTCCGACTGATGCTTGACAAAGTTCCTCCTAGGAACTGGAAGTTCTTGATGCAAGTGAGAAGGTGAGACTAAAATGCCACCGACATTAAAAAACTGACTGCTACAGCGGAATTCAGCACTTGGCACCTAACAAGACTTTGATCAAGAGATACAGGAGCACAAACCAGAGTCATGAAACACATTACATACAGTACTGAAGGTCCCTCTACTTTGAAATTGCCCATCAGAGGCAGCTGGATTCCAACTGTTGTCCCATCCATAGCGATGCCACCTTCCTCCTGGACACTCTCCCTGGTCCAGTGTGTCCCCCTCCCCCAACACAGAGCACCGTATTTTCTGATTGTCACACCTCCAGTTCCTGCATGACTCCTCCACTATCCTTTTCACTTGCCCAGTCCTCAGCAACACAATTCCTCAAGTACACCCATGAGTAGCATATAATAGCAACCATTTATTGAGTACCTACTACGTGCCAAGTACGTGTTTAATTGCTTGGGAGGACTTACCATTTCCTCAGCACCACAGTCATTGGAGGCATGCAATGTGGTGTTAGTGGCCCGCGTTCAGCAGCCGGTTAGATGGGTGGGATTATATTTAAGGCTCGAAGACCACATCTGAAGTGACCCAAATACTGTCTGGGAGGTTTCTTCTAACCCAGAGCCTGTGATTACTACTGCTTTCCCTCCACTTTTATTGGGGTACAGTGTCATTTTTAAGAATGCAAATTTTAAAAGAGTCAGAGTTGTTACGGGGGGTGGGGGTGAGGAAGAAACTTCAGTATACCCTCATCTTTCTCATGAAAAGGGAGACTGCCCAGATTCGCCGGGAAGAAAACTGCAGCCTCTGGAAACCCTCCCCAGATCTTCCTTCCTTATCAAACGGAGCTCCCCCACCCCCATCGCATGCCGATAGGGAGATAATCACGCTAGAGGGTTAAAGCCTGCCGGTATGGAAATGCAGTTTCCTCCAGTTAGCCTAGATAATTGCAGTTCTATGAAAGTCTATCATTAGTCCACTCCAAGAAGGGCCCCAAAGTTAGAAGAACCCCGGTGGCTGTCCCTGACGTGTAGCCAGAGATCAGACCTGGTAGAAGCTCAGCCCACCACCCACTCTGCGCGCGGAGGTCCTGTGGAAGACAGGGAGGGTGGACAGAGACTGGAGGAAGAAGGGACTTTCCTCCAATCGGGTCCTGTTTTCTGATTGGGACCCACTTCGCAAGCTCAGGAGGGCTCTGGCGGGCAGGGATTGGAGGTTCCCAGAGGTACCCGGCAGCTAGGGGCTCCCCGAACTTAGCCCGGGGAGGGGAACGCGGGCTTAGCCCCACGTCCCTGCATGTCACCGGGCACCCGTGTCTTCCCTCCCTGCTCCGGAGCTTCCCGGGGAGGGCGGGACCCACTGCGGGTCCACAGGGCAGGAGGGGAGGGCCAGGCAGGCGGCTGGCAGCCTACCGTCTTCTGTTTCTTGACCCCCGACATGCTGCGGCTGTGGCGGAGCCCGGGTCCAGGACGCAGAGACGCGGATGGCGGCGGTGGCTGCCGGGCTCCAGGGAAGGAGGTATAAAAAGGCTCCTCAGACACGTCGCACTTCCCTTGACCGGCCCCCTTCTCCTACTCCTCCTCCTCGCCGCGCTCCTCTCCGCCCCGTCGGCTCCGCCAGCAGCGCCCAGCCCCGGGGACCCGGCAGCCGCCAGGGCGGGGTTCCCCGCTGGCGTCCCGCCAGCTCAGGTCTAGGACAAGCTCTGGACCCTGGGAGCATCATTCACAGTCCACTCCATCTCGCATCCTGCATGAATCCCCGGGACTCTGGAGTGTACTGAGTTAAGGGAGAGCACATTTGAGGCCACCGGGCTTGAAGCTGTGGAACTCACAGCTAAGCTGTACTTAAACCTTAGGGATGCTTACTCTGCACTCCCTGGTACTGTGTGCACATGCCACCATCGTGACCAGGCTTCGGGCAGCTTGTTCTTTCTCTCCATTTGGCAAATGAGGTTACTGAGATATTTAGAATTTCCCCACATTATATTCCAAGAGAGGGGATTCAAAGCTGATGCAAAGTGTGACCCCCAGCCGCCCGGCACCATTACAACAAAAGAACAGATAACACGAAGTTTGTGAATTAATTATTCCTGGCTTCGTGGTCCGGGGTCCTGTCCAGCCCACAGTGGTACAGACCCATCAGAGGACTTACTGTTAGGTGTCACAGAAAAAAAGAAGGAAAGGAAGGAAGGAAGGAAGGAAGGAAGGAAGGAAGGAAGGAAGGAAGGAAGAGAGAAAGTCAAGTCTGCAGGCCCAGACCTGGAGGCTGGACAGTGGCAGGCCTGACACCAAGCTGCTCTTCATTCCAAGCATTTCCCTGCAGTAACTTTTTTTTCCCCTTTGGTTTTACGAGACAGGGTTTCTCTGTATTGTTTTGGAGGCTGTCAGTCCAGCCCGGCCTCGAACTCACAGCGATCCGCCTGCCTCTGCCTCCCGAGTGCTGGGATTAAAGGCATGCACCACCACCGCCCAGCCCCTGCCGTAACTTTTAGGTTTTGTGAGATGTTGCTCTCTGGAAGAACCCAGGTGTCAGGACCCACTAATTCGGAGAGGAACTATGTTGACCAGCACCTTTGGGAGCAGTCGCTGGGTTTCCTGTATGGTGACTCCCTGCCTGAGGACACAAAAAGGCCTATACAACAGTTACCTCAAAGGAACCAAGAAGGCCCCCCACGTCCCTGCTTCTCTAACCTCACCTTCTGTGAAAGAAGCTTTCTCCAGAGGTGAGGGACGGAATTTTTCTTTTATACCCAATTTAATTCTAAAAGATGGTCAGTTTTCTTTACACCTGGGGACTTATTGACTGGTGTCCCTTCTGCATGGGAAAATGACAAAGAAAAATAAACGAAGAGTCAAACTTTAAAAGGCAGCCCTCGTGTTTGCTGTCTTCTTTTCATTTTGAGGAAATTACAAACACCTCTTCACAGCTCAACTGGGGACAAAAAATGGGTTTGGGTTTCTGTTCTATACACAGGATCGCAGATACCAATTTGTTATATATGAGGTTTAAACAGCCACATCTTGCAAGTGTCCCATTGGAGAAAATCCTTTTATATCAGATGCAACCATATCTTGGATCTTGTTAGTCTTGCCCTAAGAGAAGGTAAATAAAGTGCAGACTAAGAAATCATGAATTTTCATGACTGTTTTGTTTTTCCTGTTTCATAAAGAAAAATTTTAACTGAGTTCTTCAAGCAAAGATGGAAGCTGGAGTAAATCCTTAAGGCCTCTTCCTGGAAAAGAAATCGTCATTCCCTGTCGTTGTCCTAGATGTACAAGAAACTTTGGAATCATTTACCTAATTTTTCTCTCTAGCAGTGTACATCTGACACTCAGAAAAAGGAAATAATTTGAATATGATCTGTTAGAGGCAGAAATGAGACTCAAATTCAGGACTCTCCAAATCACCTGATATCTATGTCACTAAGATGGTTAGGACAACTATTTAGACACCCCATGATAATCCAAGTTTTTGCTCAGAAGAGTCAATTTTCAAGTACTGCCTTTGAACACACTTTTTGTTAATCTCCTAAAGATGAAGTATTGGAAGTTTCAGAGCCACTGGATCCAAACCAGGTGGCTGTGACCCTTGAACGTGACAGATTACCAGTTTAGTCGAAATTCGGAGCAGCAATTCACTTAAAAACAAACACAAACTTTCCTTTCCATCCCACTACCTTCTTTTACTCCTATAAAACAGCATTTCCGGTGAAGAGACAGGGACAGCCAGAAGCTTACATTATACTCAAGGTTCTGCCTGAAGGAACTGGCGGGACTCACTACGGGCAGGGGAAGGCTTGCATTGGTCATGTTTTTCCTAGCCTCTGCTAACATCCTCTCCAAGACTGCGTTCCTTACCGGGCACCACGTGGTACTGACTTACAGTTCTCCGAATATATCACTCAAGGCATTCACACGAGGGCCCAAGTTTGCCCGTTTGCTTTTCTTTCTAGAAACTTGTGAGGCTTGAGTAACCTCAAAAGGCAGCTCAGGCAAGCCGATCCATTTATTGCTTAGAAAGGTTGGAATCAGTCCATTCCTCCAAATTCCACTCCTCCAAAACATCAGAGGAAACTCAAATAATTCCAGTTAGCGAGTATGTCACAGGCTCCCCAACATATTTTAGGGGTGCTCAACATTTCAGTCAAGGATCTAACAAGGAGACACCACCCGTGCATGGTCATGACAAAGGAATTCAACCATGTTGCCCCCTAGTGGCTGTAATGTGTAAGTGTTTGAGGAAAACCTGAATTGTTGAAACTCCTTACACAAACATAGGTAGCATTCCATTCATAAAGAAATCCTATCCTGTCGCTTCTGAACAGGCTTCCTAGAAGCAGGCAGCAGCCAGGCAAGACACTTATAGTCCATTAAAAGAAATGGATCCTCTCTATTCTGGTCTCTTCAACTAATAATGCATGTTTGGAACAGGTAAAAAATGATAAAGGCATGCCTTATCTGTTTTACTGACTTAAAACACATATATGTCAAAAAATATTTTGAAGGGCTATAGGCTTATATCATGGGGTGGGGTCTACTGATGGGCGTTTACATACTACCCCCATTAGATATTTACAATAATTTCCTACTTGGAGTTGCATAAACTGGAGCCTACAATTAAAAGAACTTGGACCTGAAAACATGGATCTGCAGGTGACTCGAGATCCAGGGGACCTGATGTCCTCCTCTCACCTCATTGGGCAGCCCCTACCTGATGGGGGATGTCCTTTTGTATGCTGTGAATATATATTTCTCTTATTGGTTGATGAATAAAGTTGTTTTGGCCAATGGACAGGTAGGATGTGTCCAGGCAGGAAGTATAGGCAGGGCTACCAGGCTAGGAGAATGCTGGGAAGAGGAACACAGAGCGTGAGTCAAGAGAAAGATGCCATGTAGCTTCTGGGAAGATAGGGTGCCGGGAATTCTCCAGTAAACCATGACCACTTGGAGATACACAGAATAATAGAAATGGGTTAGTAATTAAGAGAGAGCTAGCCAATAAGAGACTTGAGCCATTGGCCAAACAGTTTATACTTAATATAAGCCTCTGTGTGTTCATTTGGGACTAAACAGCTGCAGAACCAGGTGAGAAACTTCTGTCTACACCCACCACACACACATAAAGTAATACTAATAATGCTATTAATACTACTTAAAAATCCTTTTAAAAATTAAGAGCATTTAAAAATCAATATGAAAGGCAACATCGATCTTGTTTCCTTCAAGAGATAGCAACATATTTTCACCCTGTATTTGTATGTTGCCTATGGTGATATGTTGTTTATGATTTATTAAAGCCACTGGAGATCAAAATAGTAAAGCAGCCCATACTAGTTAGCCATAGCATTCAGGCGCACACCTTTGATCCCAAGACTCAGGAGAAGGCAGATGGATCTCTGAGTCCAAGACTACCCTGGGCTACTGAAGAGTGAATCAGAGCTCACGCCTTTAATCACAGGATTTGAGAGGTATAAAAGGTAGAGGCATCCAGTCTGAGAGTTAGTCTCTAGACACGTTGAGGAGTACAGTCTGAGTGAATCTGAGGAGCAGTGAAGTCGGGAGCAGTGGGAGGATCGCACTTTTGGTCTGAGCTGAGGAAGAAGTAAGAGCTAGTGACTGCTTTGCTTGTCTGGTCTTCAGCTTGAACCCTAATATCAGCCTCTGAGTCATTTATTTCTCATGCTGCAGTTGTCTGTCCTATAGCTGATTCTCTGGGAACACAAAGGAGGGGCAGTGGAGACTTGGGGAAGATTAAACATGACCTGGATCTTTAAAACCTGGTAGGGTTGTGTGAGCCCTCCCTCCTCCAAAGTGGGTGGTATGAGAATTTAAAAAATTAAAGGCAGAAAGGCACATGAAATCATATGGTGCGTTCAGCAGATTACAAAGGTCTGCACTGCTGATTTTAGAAGATGAAACAGAAGAAGGGAGAAGGTTGGAATCGAGAACATGTGGTTCCAATCAGGCAGCAACATGAATTTGTGTGTTTCCTCATCAAACCCATCAGAGTGTGCCCGCTGTGTGGCAGGTCCTCAGTGGAACTGTGGAACACTTCTGAGGTTCAAGGGTGAGAATTAACTGTCCTAAGGCATCCAAAGTCTGGTGAGGAAAGTGCGTGTGTGTGTGTGTGTGTGTGTGTGTGCGTGTGTGTGTGTGTGTGTGTGTGTGTCTCCGAGGAAATGTCTTTTTTCTTCTTCTCACAATATGTGCATGTGGTGTGTATGCAAGTTTCATGTGTGCACACATGCAAACGAAGGCTCAGGGTTGATATGGAGAATCTCGATTGCTGGTCCACCTTATTCTTTAAATTAGAGTCTCTCAACCAGACTTAGAACTCGCCAATTCACCTAGCCTCCATAGCCAGCTTGCTCTGGCAATCCATTCCTGCACACCTAAATTGGAATTACAGGTAGACCACCATGCCCACTCATTATTTCCTTGGGTCTCAGGGGAATCTGAACTCTGGGATACTTATGATTTAACTGCTGAGCCATCTTCCCAGCTTCTAGGGAAATGACTCTCTTAAGAGCTGGTGCCACAGGCTTGTAATTCTAGCCACGTGAGAGACTGA